AAATTCAGGCACTGGCAACTGACATGTATTTATCACAGTTGCGCTGTCCCAAGGTCATGTGATCCACAACTTGTGGCTTTCCCAGCTGACTTCCAACAAGCCAACTCAATGGGGAAAACCAGAATTCCTTAACAACTGAATAATTCCCTTAACAATTGCAATAATTCGCTTAACAATTGTGGTAAAAAAAAGTTGTAAAATGGGGTGCAACTCACAACAACTTTTTGGGGCTCAAATGTGGTTGTAACTCATTTCTTATGAAGATCTGGATATGGTAACCTACAGATTTATAATAGATTTATTATAACTGAAGGATGGATTATATGTTGTAGGAGGACAAAAGTTAAAAGTCTCCATCTCTAAAACCTGGGAAATTGGCCCCTCATTTCAAACAGATTTGCTTGCTGAAGTTAAAGCTAAAGCACCACATTTCCTATTTCCCTTTTGCAATTGTTTGTTGTTAGTATGCAAAGAGAAAATGAGAAAAGCTCATGTTACCGGACTGTATTCCTGTGCAATACGTTCAATTTTGAATTTATATTGCTATTTCAATATACAGAAACTCTTGAGCAAGAATCTTTCCTGGGTTTTAATCAGATTTTGGAGTGGAACAGTTTTCATATATCAACACGAATATTAACTCTAATAATTAAGTTAATATTTGTGGCCCAAGCTTTGTCTTTGGCATCTCGGATCACTTGTAAGAAGGACCGAGGCTCAGTTTTCTAGAAAACATCTATTTTCATGCATTCTCTTCCCCTTTCCTTTTATGAAGCAACGGCCTAAAAGACTTTCGGGGGAATTTGAGAAGAATGATGTCCAATTCCCATCTGTTAAATATAAACATGAGTCATGTGTTCTGTTCATGTGTTTGTCTACACAGCGGAAGAGCATCGAATGACTAAGTTTACTGTACCATCCAAGTCAAACCACTTCTTATTCTTGCTTGTTGCTTTAGAGTTTAGACAACCAAGAATGAGATTGAATACAAATCCATAAATTGTCCAGGAGGTTCAACAACAGAGTTGCCTGTGAATAGGATCTTGTTACCAATGTATGCAGGAACACGATATCTTTGTAGCCAAAGCGATGGGTCAGCTTTTAGGGAAGCACTTAAAAAATACGATAACAGCCTTGTAACGAGAGAGATAAAACAGGCTGCAATGTAAATAAGAACATTTGCTACTGAGGGCTAAACAATTATAAATAGAATTTTTGCAAAGTTAGCCTGATGTGAAATATAGTTTTATTTCGTTTAGCCTGAAATACTGTAAAACTCTTCCCGGGGAGTGATAGGTATGCACAATCCTGCATTTTGTGACAATTACTGCAATCCCAGAGGTTACACATAGTCCTTGACTTACAACTGTTTTTTTTAGTGACCATTCAAAGTTACAGTGGCAGTGAAAAAAAAGGGACTTTTTCACATTTATGATTAAAATTACGGCATCCACCTGATCCAAATTTGGAAGCTTGGCAGCTGGCATGTGCTTATGATGGTTGCAGTGTCCCGGGGTCACTGCGATAACCTTTTGTGACCTTCTGACAAGCAAAAGTCAATGAGGAAGCCAGATTCACTTACAAACCGTGTTAAGCAAGTTATCTTAAGCAAGGGCAGTCATCCGCTTAAGAACTGTGGCAGGAGAGATCATAAAACGGGGCAAAAGTCACTTAGCGTCTTGCTTAGTAATGGGAATTTTGCACTCCATTGTGGTCGTAAGTCGAGGACTACCTGTTATCAGTTTGTACTTGCATGATTTGCATGAACTGGATAGATCCTCTATTTTTGCCTCTGTACCAGTGGTGGGATTCAAAAATTTTTACTACCGGTTCTGTGGGCATGGCTTGGTGGGCATGGCAGGAGAAGGATATTGTAACATCTCCATTCCAGGGGAAGGATACTGCAAAATCCCCATTCTCACCTGATCAGCTGGGGCTCGGGAAGCAGAGAATAGATGGGGTCAGAGGTGGTATTTATACCGGTTCTCCGAATTGCTCAAAATTTCCGCTACCAGTTCGCCAGAACTGGTCAGAACCTGCTGAATACCACTTCTGCTCTGTACTTCTGAGTAGAAAGGCAGTTGAAAGTAGATGTCTAAATCAAATGTAACTTCCTGGGTCTTCATTCTTCCTAGATGTGTAGACAGCTTTAGTTTCACATTGCTTTCCCCGGTCATCCACTTTGCAATCTCCTGCTCGCAACTGAGTATTTTTAGACCCTGGAAGAAGTCTGAATTGCAGTTAGCAAATATATGAGACATGAGTGTAACCATGCCTGAAGGTATCAGCGATATATCTTAGATGTGACACAAGCAGGAAGTTGTGACATCAAGTGAGCCAGAAGTGGTTAGTGGAAGGGCACGATTATTGCCCTAAGGTCATGAGTCTTGTGGTGCAATGATATTTAATGATTGTTACGATTGCAGAAAGCATCTGGTTTTTTTTTTTTTGGTTGAGAAAATGGCAGCTGGATCTTGTATCAAGAAACATCCTTCTGAAGACGAGACATTTTCTGGAACTGCTTTATGGTTCAACTTATTTATAGCTAGTCTTTAAAAAAAAAACACCTCTAGATAATTCTTTTAACTTTCTTTTCCTTCCTGATTGCAATGGACCTTGAAATAACGGACTGTCAGAATGGTGTTGATGCAAAAACCAGGGATCAGAGTACATGGGCCTTGTATTTCTACCTACTTGCAAAAGAAATGCTTGAATTTCTTATAAGTTTGTAGATACTGCATGGGCTGCCCTTGGTTTGGCTGCCACGATGGAATTGTGATATTGAGACAAAGGATGGGGAACCTCTCTGGGGTCCTCTGTAAGGATTCTCCTCTGTTCCCCAATAGGCTAACAGGGTAGTTGGGTATTTCCCATGTATTTAACCACTGAAGTGGTGAAGTTAGAAGAATGGTGTAACTAGACAAGTTTATGGGGCTTACATGAACTTTCAATTCTGCCAATTGCTAACTCTGTTCACACAATATATTTAACTAGGTCAATTAAAGACCTGGGGTCTACATTTGTAGTTTGAACTAAGGTGAGTGTCTAAAGGTTTTGTTGTGCTCCCTCCCCACCCCCCAGCAGCCAGGGTAGCTGGCAGCCGATTCAGACACTGAGGAGGTTGGGGAGGAACATGGGCCAGTCCTGGAGTCTGGGGGAAGAGCTGAGGAGGGGTCTTTCAGATCAAAGAAATGAAATCAAAGTTTCATTTTTCTCCACCTCAAGCATAAAGTCCAGAAATGGTTTCCAAGTAGAACCAAAAGTACTTGTGTTTGTTTTTTTGTTGTTGTTGATCGAAGCAGTCGATTTAGCCATCTCTGCTATTTTTTGTGGCATTCTCAATGTATGCAGGGCCGATTTACCCAACCTCCACACCTTTAAAAGATTTATTATCTAAACTATAAGTAGGGAAAAGAAAGGGAGGGGCAGCAAACTTTGGGAAGAGAGAATGTGGCAGATCCTGTTAGGGTATGTGCAAAGTTTTATTGTAGACGATAACGAGAGTAAGCCACGTTGAAAAGAAGAGTTTCAAGGAAAGAGAAGAGAAGAGGAAAAGGAAGAGATGCGACACATAATTGTTGAGGGAAAAAATTCCTTTGCTTAAGGGGAGGAAGATAGAACCGATAAAAGCCGTGCTAAGAAAAACCTGAAAGAGCAGAGATCATAAACAAGCAAGAATGGTGTAAACATATCCTTCTTAATCATCTTTGCATGATAAACTGGGACTGTAAAGATAAAACCGAAGTGTAAAATGCATTTCAGATAAATGTAGCATATAAATATGTAAACAACTCTTTAAAATAAATCTTAGAACCAACCTTTATTTGACTTCCAGATGTATTGTAATACAAGCCCTATTGCCTTCAGCCTACGCACACCTAGAGGGTATCAGATTGATGAAGACACTAAAAACTACTGGCATGCAATACAGGAATTGAAATAATAATTTTAAAAAATGGCCTTTGATTTCAGTAGGATCTTAGGTGTGAATGCCTTTGAGTCAGTTTTCACTCCTAGAGATTGCCTAGATAGGTCCTTGCAGACCAGAGGTGGTATTCAGCAGGTTCTGACCTGTTCTGGAGAACTGGTAGCGGAAATTTTGAGTAGTTCGGAGAACCGGTAAATACCATCTGTGGCTGGCCTCGCCCCTATCTATTCTCTGCCGCCAAGTCCCAGCTGATTGGGAAGAAATAGGGATTTTGCAGTATCCTTCCCCTGGAGTGGGGAGGGAATGGAGATTTTACAGTATCCTTCTCTTACCAGGCCCACCAAGCCAAGCCCACAGAACCGGTAGTTGAATCCCACCACGGTTGCAGACTTCGGGCAATATTTCTTGATAATATTTTCAGTTGTGGTCGGCAGTAGCATTCTTTTTAGGAGTGAGAGAGAATGAATGACTCAAACTCACCCAGTTGGCTTCATATCTAAGGTGGGATCATCTTCCTGTTCCTAGTCTAGTGCCTTACATTACTACACCAAATCGGGGCCTAAGAACACTGAATATAGAGAAGATCCAGACCTATAGTTTGATAGAATAGAACTCTTTATTGGCCAAGTGTGATTGGACACACAAGGAATTTGATCTGGAACAGAAAAGCAATCAGTGGGAGAAAGAAGGGATTCCAACTACCTTGGATGTGAAATTTTAGAGGAAAGAAGCCATCCTTGATGAAAGTTTGTAGTTGTGAGATGGCCATTTGAAGAGTAAGGCAATTCTGCAAGGCTTCCATCATCCACCCCACCACTGTTTTCTGACTCCATTCATGATTATTAATGGTTCCCAAGTAGCCTTCCTCGGAGTTAGCAACTATTTCTAAGAAAAAGAATTCCCTCTGGTCTTTTAGAAGAGGCTGCCATGCAGTGCCGTTTTGGGACATACGCCAACATAATTCTTTATGTTTCTAGTCCAACTCCTTTTTAGGAAGGGGTGGAGGAGTCTTCATGAAGACAAATGTATAAGAGATTCAAGATCTTTTCCCCTTTTCTTGTGTCATTTCCAGTTACTGCTGGAAAGAGGAATTCAACAAGGAGAACATCTTCCACAACCTGAACTGCGATGTGGCTGCAAAAAAACGAAAGAAGGACCAGCTGAACAATAAGACCAGGATTCAGTGTAAGACACGACCTATAGAAATATATTAGAATATTAAACTAACAAGAGACAGCTTCAATTGGAGGGAGAACTGAGGGGGGGGGGGAAACACATATTTCTCACACCCTGAAATGGTTTTTGCAACTCTTCCAGAGGTTTCTGGAGAGATTTTGCACTCGGATTTTGACCTTAACCAGAGAACTTGGAGTCATTGCAATATGAAGATGGATGACTTTGAAACTTTGCTCTGTGTGCAATGCCTTTGCACTGACATTTATCGTCATTTGTATTTGGCAGAGATGTCCCCTTTCTTTCCCACCAGTGAACTGATCTCAACTTTTCACAACTCTGAATGTTTGAACAGGAGTTTTTATACCCCTGTTTTTGTTTCTTAAAAACAGGGGTATCCTTTGTGTGGGGGGGAAGGACGGTGTTCATAAAAATCCAGATGGGCGAACTGAAGGCCTAACATAATTTCTGAGTACAAAGTATTTAATGCCTGTATGAGTTTAAACAGAATGTATTTTTCTTTGAACAGATTTTCACCAAGAAAAATGGATTTATGTACACAAGGGAAGCACCAAAGAAGTGAGTACCCATTATTATTTTAAACAAATAATCATTTTCCTTGAAAATTTCCCATCTCTTCTGTCACTGTTTCCATCGAATGCGGTTGATAACATGGACTACATGCCTTTGACAAGTGATGGTGATATGGGTATAGTTTACTAAAAGTGCTAATTTTTGACTGGCTGCACTTTGCATTTAATAAAAATGTTTTAGATTAGGAGAGTCCAACCTTGTCAACTTTAAGGCTTGTGGGCTTCCACTCCCAGAATTCTCTCACCAGCATGGCTGACTGAGGAATTCTGGGAGTGGAAGCCCACAGATCGTAAAGTTGCCAAGGTTGGACATTCCTGTTTTTAGACCAATGTTTCCCATTTCCAGCAACTTTAAGCTGCAAGGACGTCAACTCCCTGTCAACCTTGAAGTTGATCTGGCCGGAGTCATCTTGGAGCTTCAGTGCTACCACACTGGAGCTGAGGGATAGGGAGGGGATGGGCTTAGAGACAGCTGAAGCTGTGTAGTCAAAACAAAATACTTTCTCTTGAGAACCAAGGACGTTCTCACACCTGGCGGGAGGAAGGAGGAGTGATGTCACCAGATGCTGCCTTGATTGGGCCATGTGACTGATTGTTTGGGGTTGAGTATATATATATACT